ACTAAATAAACTTAATTATCTTCAGCTTGTTTCAATGCCCACTGGTGCTCTATCAAGTTATTATGTCGAGCATTGTGCATATATGGCCTTTGAAGTGTAGTATATCGTTGAATGACCAATTCATTATAACGTCAATCCCTTTCTAATGGCTCATGTTGCACGGATTTTTCGGTGCCATCATGAGCGCAATATATACGTGTTCTTGAATTATTCATTGTGTCTAGCTCATATTCATCAACGACATCATAATCGTACTCATCTTCCACAATCATGTTGTGAAGAATGATGCACGTCATCATGATGGATCGAAGCGACTCTACATCAAACAATCTGGTAGCACCCCTGACGATCGCCCAGTGAGCTTGGAGGATACCAAAACAACGCTCCACATCCTTCCTGCACCCATTCTTGACAGCTTGCAAAGTATTTTTCCTTTGCACTTCGCGGACGTGTGACTGTTTTGACAAATGTTGACCACCTTGGGTAAATGTCGTATGATAAGTAGTATGGTCCTGTCGTACATATGTCTGTTGACGCAGTACGTGACTTTTGGTGCATTTCCTTGCAGTACATCGTTGAACACTGGGGATTGGGCAAAGACGTTAAGATCATTTTGAGCTCCCGAAATCCCGAAAAAGGCGTGTCAAATCTATGTATCAAAAGATGCCACTGCTTCCAAAATGATACTTTTTGCTCCTTTTCTGTCCCCATAAGCGCCTTGCCATACACTTGGACATTTTTTCCACGTCCAATGCATACAATCAATGCTTCCAATCATCCCAGGAAAACCACGCATCTCGGCCTTCTTTAGAAGCCTTTGCAAGTCTATGTTTGTAGGTTTCCGGAGGCACTCTACTGGTGTAGATAGATTCGATTGCTCTGCAAAATCTCAACATGAACTCAAGAATGGTTGATTTCCCCATCCTCGTTATCTCATCCACTTGGTCTGCAGATACTCCATATGTAAGCATCCGCAAGGGAGTAGTAATTTTTTGCTGAGGAATGAGACCTATAGCACCAAAAACATCATTCTTTTGCACAAAGTAAGAATCATGGTTGCAAACAACAATCATGATTTTGTTGAACAAATGTCATTCCATTCTAAAACGATGTCTAAAGTACGTATCAGGGAATGCACTATTACGGACAAAATAATCGTCCAATAGTTCCGTACCTCGTCGTTGTCTGCTTCTATCAAGGTTTCCAGAACGGCTGGGCCTGCATATCTAAGCCACAACTTGGATGACTCAACAGGAATGTGAGGCTTGCTTCGTCATCTCTCCTTCAAAGCTCCTCATCCTCTTCCCTCTTATTTTTTGCCACCTGGAGATTGAACATTCCTTCTTATTGGTTAAACAATTCTTCCTCTTTTTTGATCGAGTTCCCACATCATCCTTGAGGAAGAAGAAGACATTGTAAGAAAGAAGCAGAAACTATGAATAATGATAGAAATTTTTGTGAAGAATGAATCATAAACTATGAATAATGATAGAGATTTTGAGAAAATTGGTGTGAGATTTGTGATGATGGATGGTGGATTATATGGAGGATTCAGAAAGGATTAGGTTGTAGATAATGCCACGTGGCATGCCGTCATTCGTTAAAAATCTGATGAAAATCTATCCTCAAAGATTGTAAACAGATTATGACACTTAGTGCGACGTGATTGGTTAATAATCTTATCAGAAATCTATCACCAAGAATTGTAATTTTTGGATAATGACATGTGGCATGCCGTCATTCGTTAAAAATCTGATGGAAAACTATCCTCAAATATTGTAAACAGATTATGACACATGGTGCAATGTGATTGGTTAATAATCTTATCAGAAATCCATCACCAATAATTGTATTTTCAGATAATGACACATGACGCAACAAGTACGATTAAAAATCTTATCGGAAATCCATGCCCAATAATTATCTTTTTGGATTTTATGTCAAGTGGCGCAACGAGAACGATTAAAAATCTTATCCGAAATTACAAATAAAATTATTTTGTATTATTTAATAATAATTCGAATAATGACACATGGCACAACAAGAACGATTAAAAAACTTATCCGAAATTACAATTAAAATTATTTTGTATTATTTTATAAATAAAAAATAGTGAAAATATGACTTTAGCCATTCAAACTCAAATTTCTTCATATAAAATCTTACATAACTTTTTTACTCAAAGAAAACTCAATGACTAAGATCCACATAAGCAAATTCATTTACTTCATATTAATTCACACATTTTACATTTTTCACATGCCTAAAATACCCCTATTACCTACTTGATGTAGACAATTAATTGTAAGGAAATAGTAAATGATTTTGCAACAAGAAAAAAAAAAGACATTAATGTTAAAAATTTATTGCATATTAATTTTTTAGAAAGGTTTTGAATTTTCATAAAACTATTCAGTTTTTTCACTCTACTCTTGAATACTTTTGAATTTTTCCTTTTTTTATTAATATATTAGAACATTGTATTTCATTATCTACATGCACATTAATTTACCTAAGAACAATTATACCATGGGTGTAATATAATATCTCTTTTTTACAATGATGCAAAATAATGTTTATACCAACAACAAAATGTGTCTAACGTATTTACTAATACATGGAAAATAATTCACCTATATTAAGAAGAAATGTAGTTAGATGTATAGTATTAAAAATACTATGTTACACCCATGTTTATACAACAATAAAATGTGTCTAACATATCTAACAATACATGAAAAATAATTTACCTACAAGTTAGAAAAATGTTATTTGGTTGGGTGTAGTATAAATTTTTTTAATAATTGGAAAAATTAAATATAGCTAGGTGTAGTGTAATTTTCTTTTATATAATTAGAACAAATTAATTTACCTACCTAGTCTTTGAAATGTTCATTTCCAATGATGCAAAATGTAAGATCCCACATCGCTCAGGGGAGTGATCCTTATATGTATTCTCATCCCTACCTAGCACGAGGCCTTTTGGGAGCTCACTGGCTTAGGGTTCCATTGGAACTCTGAAGTTAAGCGAGTAGCGTGCAATAACACTTCATTATGAGTGACCCACTAGGAAGTTCTCATGTGAGTTCCCATAAACAAAACTGTGAGGGTGTGGTTGGGGCCCAAAGCGGACAATATCATGCTACGGTGGTGGAGCGGGCCCGAGATGTGGTGGACCTCGGGCCGGGATATGACAATTTGGTATCAGAGCCTAACTCTGGTCGTGGTGTGCCAATGAGGACGTCGAGCTCCTAAGGGGGGTGGATTGTAAGATCCCACATCACCCATGGGAGTGATCCTTATATGTATATTCTCATCCCTACCTAGCACGAGGCCTTTTTGGAGCTCACTGGTTTCGGGTTCCATTGGAACTCCGAAGTTAAGCGAGTAGCGCGCGAGAACACTTCCATGATGAGTGACCCATTGGGAAGTTCTCATGTGAGTTCCCAAAAACAAAATCGTGAGAGCGTGGTCGGGTCCAAAGCGGACAATATCATCCTACGGTGGTGGAGCGGACCCGGGATGTGGTGGACCTCGGGGCGGGATATGACACAAAAGGTTCATTACCTAACTACAAATTAATTTCCAATAATTTACCTACAACAATTATACCATGGGTGTAATGTAACATCTTTCTTTACGATGATACAAAATATTGTATGTACCAACAACAAAACTTGCCTAATATAAGTACTTGTACATGGAAAATAATTTACCTATAACAAAAGAAATGCAGTTTGATGTATAAAATCAACAATATTATGTTCCACTCATGTTTATACAACAACAAAAACGTGTCTAACATATATAACACTACATAGAAAATAATTTACCTACAAGTTAGAGGAATGTTATTTGATTCAAAATATATAATATAGGTGTAGTATTTTTGTTTTTTAAATAATTGGAACAAACTAATTTACCTACCAATTAATATGGATAAAATTGCTACAAAATATATCACGAAAAAAAAAAACTACTTTTCTAGTTTGACATAGATACGGTTAATGCAAACACTTTTTTCATTTTATTTCACTTTTTCTACTACTTTTAATTTGGCATAAATTTAGGAATTTGAAAAGGGACCATAAAGTATGAGTGGCATGCGTGTAAATAAATTGTATTAATAGGTCAATAGTGTTCCTATATGTTTGCAAATTTTAAATTTGGGCTTAAATTGGATATTTAAAGATATATGAGTTTTTATATAGAAATAATGAATTGTAAGGGCTAAAATCTAAAGCAACCTAAAAAAATACTAATATTTTATTGCCTATTACCAAGGCTATTGAAGTGCAACGGTGGAGATGCAAAAGACGATTACTGTTCATTAAGGACAGTTACTGTTCACTAGGTGGATAGCATAATGTATTGCTTGAGGGAGGTTTCACACGCTGGAGTTGCTTTTAATGTATGGGATGCCCTTCTGCCCAAATTGCACAGACCAGACCTTGGAAAGTTTGAACTGCAGCAAAAAACCGTTCTTAAGAAATCAGAATAGAGAAAATGTTCATCAGTTAACTGGATGAAATGCAGTTTAAGCAGAGGGCGAACCGACCCTTTGTGTTATTCAAGTTGTGGAAATTCTCATTGGTTTTGGGGATTGAAATAACTTCTGCAATTCAAGGAGCAATAAAAGTTCTACAACAAAATCTACATAAATATAAGTACTTGACAAAAACTAATAGTATAATGAACAGATACGATTCACGAATATTTAAAATCCTTATCAAAATGAATTGGAGATGAGCACAAATTATCCAGAAAAGTTCAACACACTCCCCACAGTTCCAGATATTTCCGTGGATCCCACAGCACATCCAGCTATGCCACAAGCCCGCCACGCGCCCCTCCCAACAAATCAAACCCAGTCGTCCACGTGGTTTTGATCCAATGGTCCCACAGCCCTTAGCCACCCATATATCCCAGTCCCTTTCTCCACTTCCACACTCACTCAAAAGTCAAAACCCTTATCTTCCTCTGTTACCCTCTCCAGAATCATGCTTCTCAAAGCTTCTTCGGCCTCCTCTCCCTCGCTCGCTCGCGGGGACAGTTTTTGTCCTCTGTTTTCCTCTGCTCCGCCGTCATCACCGCCGTCGGTTTCGTACTCGTTCTCGCCTCTGACCTCCTCCACGTCTATGTCCTCGATTCTCCGGTTCTCTCCGGCGAGAAATGAAAGTGGGGTCGTCGTCTGCGCTTCAAAGAACGCGAATAATCGGCCGCTTACCGGTGTGGTTTTCGAGCCGTTTGAGGAGGTGAAGAAGGAGCTCGACCTCGTCCCTACTCTCCCACAAGTCTCTCTCGCCCGCCAGAAGTTCACTGACGAAAGCGAGGCCGCCATTAACGAGCAGATCAAGTGGGTTTTCTTTCTTTTCCATTCACGTGTTATATATCTATGAAGGAATTGTTTCTAACTTATAGTATTTGATTACTGCAATTAATTTTGTGTGTTAAAGTTTAAATCTTGAAGAAATATCCGATTGTGCCCTTAATTATTTTATGCGAATTGTTCTATCCGTATACCTGCTAGAATTTGTGTATGGTTGGATTAGTAAATCTTTGTTCTTGGATTTGTGTATGAATGTTTGGTTTCGAATTTCGAATCTAAAAGTATTGCAACTGTGAATCCGACTAATCTTTGTCAAAATTCGGTTGTATTTGCTTACGCTCTGATGCACGCTAACGGTTGATTTGTTTCTTTGGTGGAATATCAGTGTGGAGTACAATGTCTCGTACATTTACCATGCCATGTACGCCTATTTCGACAGGGACAATGTTGCGCTCAAGGGTCTTGCCAAGTAATGTCCTGTAAATACTTTATGCTAATTTGAGCATTTTAATACAGTGATTTTGTTATTTATGGTTTCGTTATATCGCAGGTTTTTCAAGGAATCGAGTGAGGAAGAAAGGGATCATGCCGAGAAATTAATGGAATACCAGGTGTTTGTCTTAGTCCTTGTCTAGTATATTATGTTTTGTGTTTTTATTACTCTGATGAGCCTTAAATTCAGTTTACCGTTTGTAAAACGAGTTCCTTATCACTTTTCTTTTTTATTATTGTCGTCATTTCCCAGAATAAGCGTGGTGGAAGAGTGAAGTTGCAGACAATTCTGATGCCTGTGTCTGAGTTTGACCATCCAGAGAAAGGAGATGCTTTATATAGTTAGTTTTATTGGCCCTGGCTTGTGTATTTGTGACGAGAACATTAACAATTAAATTTTGGCTCCTGGACACCATTCTGTTATATTCTCCGTTGGGATTTACATGAATATTTCTTATTTAGTTGTGTTGTAGAACATTGTTATTGGGCTTTGAAGAAAATTGGTCACCTGTTTAACGATGAAAGTTGATGTGATATATGCAATTTAAGGTGTGCTGGCTTATTTAAACGAGAAATGAGAGACACCTGGTTTTTGTAGATGATTTTCTGTGAATGGACTAGTTTATTGGACTGATATACTATGATTTAACTGTTAATTATTGAGCTCTAACTCGGTCCTATGTTTTCGATTCAGCAATGGAGCTTGCATTGTCACTCGAGAAACTGACAAATGAAAAGCTGCTCCACTTGCACAGTGTAAGACATCCATTCTTATTGTATGCTGTCTTCTTAGTATAAGATGATTAGTTGTAGGTGATTGTATTTGTACCAGTAACATCGTTTGGTTCGTGTTATGAATTCATAATCTTATTATGCTGTGTTCATCCTCGAATTTACGACTAACAGGTTGCTGTGAAGAGCAAAGATCCGCAGTTAACAGATTTTGTTGAAACCGAGTTTTTGGCTGAGCAGGTTAGTCTTGATATCCTCTTTTATTTGTCCCGAGTTGGAAAGGTTCTACAGGGACACTTGCGGCATGATTTTTGAAGTTGTGCTTTTACCTTTGTAGGTGGAAGCAATCAAGAAAATATCTGAATATGTTGCTCAACTAAGGAGAGTTGGCAAAGGACATGGTAGGAACCCATAATTCAATTTCGTTGTCATCGTTATCCTACGTTAAATGTTCGTCATTTGACAATAACATTATCTGATTTCATTTCCCGTTTCTTAAAACTGTATGCTATTCCGTGTGTTCCAGGGGTGTGGCACTTCGACCAGGCGCTACTCCACGGGGATGCTGTTGCTGCGTGATGATGAGTTTGTCACTGTTAAAAGTCGTGTTATGTTGTCTGGTGCGTTGATTGTAGCTGTTTATAGGTTTTGGTTGCATGGTTAGAACCTTTTGTTAGTTTATCGGATGAGGAAAATACACGAGGGACAAATTTTAGCCAAATTAGTTGAATGCAGCTTATGAATCTGTTTGGTTTTTACATATTTATGAATAATGAATAGAAGTTGACATATCTTAGAAAAAAGGGGAGGAAAAAAGTCTGGTCTAACGGATTTTTTGGTGACCCTTTGGATACTTTTGGGTGGAACTCCACTGGAAAAGGGCAAATGATTCTCATACCCCTTTTTTATTTGCCAGCAAAGTGGACTGCCGTGTAAAGGGGTTGGGAATCTTTCACGGAACTGATTACGGTACATGCACAAACTTTAATACTTTTACCATCTAGCGGTTAGATATGCAAGAAAAGATTTATATTTGGCCATATCTGACCGTTAGATGGTGAATGTATTAACCAAATTCATGTCTCCTAGGACTGCTGACAAGGGTTAGTTTATACATCAATTCGAGTAGTTCAAAGGTTCTTACTTGTCACCAAGCTTTATATGATATTGCACACAAAATTTCGTATGTTAGAAGGAAGACGTTTACCCAACTAGGGGAGTAACTCTAAACAAAAATTTACACGTTTACCCAACTAGGGGAGTAGCTGTAAACAAAAATTTACAGTAGGGGAGTAACTTTGAACAAAGACCTGACGGTTAAAAAACTCGAAAATATAGTAGTGTGCTCTGAAGCACCAGAGAAAGTTTCGTAATCTGCCGCCAACTTGACCTAGGTTATGAAGTATCAAGTGTACTTTGGGAGGGATTTAGCTGCATTCGCAACGGGTTGTCGTTGATTTGTTCACATTCAAACCTTGCTTAGTTGAGTATTTCGTTATAGATGAAATAAACAGTTAGAATTACCCAGTACTGAGCAAAACAAACAGGAAATGTTTGAGTTTTGAAGAACAAATTCCGAACCAACAGCTCCAGGTCTGCAGCAAAACCAACAGCCACACAAGTAAATCAAAATTTGAAGGCTGTGCATAGTTACTTATGCCGTCGCTGCCTGTTGGGCTGCTTGCCTCCTTTTCGCCTCTTCAATGATGGTCAGCTTGATACCCTTTCCCTTGGGAAGACTTACCCACGGCTTTGTCCCCTTGCCAATGGTGAACACATTGCCCAATCGAGTAGCAAACTCATGGCCGGTGGCATCTTGGACGTGGATTGTCTCGAAACTTCCCTTGTGTTTCTCCCTGTTCTTGATTACTCCAACACGCCCTCTGTTCCGTCCACCGGTAACCATCACCACATTGCCAACATCGAACTTAATGAAGTCGGTGATCTTGTTGGCCTCTAGGTCAAGCTTATAGTGTCGTTGGCCTTGATGAGAGGGTCAGGGTAGCGGATGGTCCGTCCGTCGTAGGTGTTAATGTATGGGATGCCCTTCTGCCCAAATTGCACAGACCGGACCTTGCAAAGTTTGAACTGCAGCGAAAAACCCGTTCTCAAGAAATCAGAATAGAGAAAATGTCCATCAGTTAACTGGATGAAATGCAGTTTGAGCGGAGACCGAACCAACCCTTGTGTTATTCAAGATGTGGAATTTTGCAGATCGAAAAGATCCATATGGACAATGAAACATGATCCAAATGCAGTAGTTATCACTGTTCTAAAAATCTCTGTCTAGGCGCTAGGCAGCTGGCCACCGTACTCAATTAATGTCTAGACGTTTAAAAATTAAGAAAGGGACGCTCAGACCTGCTGAGGCGCCCTCCTAGATTCACATAGGCACCCGCCTAGCCTGTCCAGATCCGCCTAGACACTTGCCTAGGTTGCAACTCACTTAGAAAATAGATAACTTTCCTTTTGCATTTTATTGTTTCTAATAAATTGTAAAAGACTTATTGAATACTTAATAAACACACATTATATGTTTGCTCCACATGTTTTCACTATGTTCTACTACTTCATAATATATATGTCATTCTATTTTCTAATTTATGATAAATATAATAGATTTACTTAAATCCACCTGGTCCGCCTAGGCGCTAGATCCTAGCCCGCGGCCCAACTAGCGCTTAGCGTCTTTTAGAACCTTGGTAGTTATTCAAGTCATGTAAATTTTTTTGGACGAGAGTTTAAGTCATGCATTTGAAAAGAAAAATAACCTTTGCCTCTTCGTCCCGGATTGAGTGGAGACGGAACCGACCCTTTGTGTCATAAAGGAGACGGAAATTCTCATTTGTTTTGGGGATTGAAATAACATCTGCAAATCAAGGAGCAATATAAGTTCTATGACAAAATCTACGGCCACGAAATGAAAGGAAACATCTCCTAATACTCTTGTGAATTGCAGTTGAACGCATCTACAGTTACATGAAAAATGGAATAAGATCACCACGCAATGGCGGTAGAACTTAATAACGGCTGAAAATGGGTGCTGTGAACAAGGAAGCATAAACAATCATCCGACAACTAGCCATGTTACAAGCCTGGAAATAAAAGATAGGATGAACATACCCATGAAACCGGAAGGATATGTTTTGTCAGTCCTAACCTTGCCGTCAACCAGAACATGCCGTTGCATCAAGATGGAAATGACCTCCCGGTAAGTTAGAGCATATTTCAATCGGTTTCGTAGAATAATGACCAAGGGAAGGCATTCCCTGGACTTGTGAGGCCCAGATGAAGGCTTAGGTGCCTAAGTAACAGAAGAATTTAAGCAACAAACGAACGAAATAATCCATTTACAAAGGAGAAATGAAGCAGCACCACAAGCATCAACATTAAAGGGAGAACAAATAATAGGTTTTCAACTTACAAATGCTCCGCCAAGTTTGTCGAGCATCCAATGCTTCGGGGCGTTGAGCCTCTTCAAATGCTTCTTCAAACCTCTCGCCTGCACAAGTCACAAGCCTAAAACTCATCCCATTTGTAAACAAGAACATAATTCAGCTAGCAAGAAACTTCTGTTTCTCCCCATGGCTTCGTTACGGAGTATTCGATTCGGATTCAAACATACTGTCACAGTATCATTTTCTCTAATCCCAAATCATATTCTTAGAGCAACAGAATTGAAAGTTCAATTCATAACAGCTTTTCAAAAATTACACTAAACTCGTCGATATAATTTTACAATGCAGACCACAGCAATAATTCTGGTTATAGATAATGTAAATTTACATTGATTAATACATGTAATTAATCAGTTCAACAAAATCAAACAAGATTTTTTTTGCTCTAATTAGTAAATACAAGCTTATTACAATTTTCCAGCAATTTTGAAAATCATGAAATAGTTATACAGCACAAAAAAGAAAAATATTAAATAACCAGAATTAAGATTTAGATCTGGGATATACATATCATGCGGATTTGAGGAATGATAATAGTAGAGATTAAAAATACTAATTCAATAGCGACGGGAAATATGAAAAATAAAAATTACGAGGTAAAAAAATAAGAAAAATGAAGAACAGAAAGGTGAGAGGGTAATTACCATTTTGGGACTGTGATCTTGAACTCTGGGGAAGTATCTGAGCTTCCGATGGAGCTCTGAACGGGCAAGAGGGAGGGAGAGAGCGAGAGGGAGGGAGGGAGAGAGACGCCCTCACTAAAACCCTACAGAATGGCGCAGGGTGGGCTTTGAGGGGATCCAACTGCTACTTGGGCCATGACTTCACTACTCGGCCCGCGATTACGTCGTGGATCATTTTGTAACTCAGAGGGAAGGTTTGTTGCACTGGATTGGACTGGACTAGTTTTAGGGATTAAACTAGATTGGCTTATACTACACTAAGCTGAACTGATTTAGTGAAGCGTTTGGTGCAGTGTTGGACTAAAAAGAAGAATAATACCAAACTACAAAATTATATATTTTTTTAATTTATATCTAATAATATTATATTAATTAATTCTACCATTTTTTTCTTCTAAAAAAAAACTCTCCCTCTCTCTAGAAGCCTCCACCAGTCCATCTTTTTCTCCCTTTTATCTCCTTGGTTCTCTCCATCCCTCGCTCTCCTTCCCTTCCCTCTTGTTTCCGATTAATTGCCAAAAAAAATTCCTGCAAAATGAAGAATCGGGCTTGATTTTTCATGTTTTTGTTTGGTGGGCGTGGAATCTCGAATGGGTGAGCTTGGTTGGCCTAGATCCGTTCAATTTTGGGTTTGACCTCGTTGAAGTGGTGGTTTGTGCTTTGCAGCGTCGTCGTTGAAGCGGGGATTGCAGACACTTTTGCCTGTCGTTACGCTTGCAGCAGCACTCATCCGGCAGCATTCTTTCAAATATAAAGTCTTTTGGGGATTGGGGTTTCGACGACGATGTAGGTCCGTCGTCGATCGTTGGACGACTACGAAGACGATGCGAAGCATACTGGAGTCCTAGACGAGCCTGAGATGAAGCAAAGCAAGTGTAGGAGATAGGATTAGCAATCCTCTCCTTTTCGGGGGTCTCGCTAAGGCCCCTTAGGGAAGCATTTAATCCTAGCGAGTCCGACTTAGTCTCATTAAACATAATCCTTGCTTGCACCAAACACGGTATAAGTATCATAACCAGTCCAGTGAAACTTAGAGAAGCCAATCAAACACGCCCTACATGAATTGCAATATTCTCTTTTCAAGTGAGGAAGGGATAAATTTCAATTATTTTGTGGTAAAAAAATGAAAGATGTGCAAAAGGTTGGGCCATAGTTTCTTTAATAGGAACCACACATCCCAAGAGAAGAGATCCTCTCCGAATCTCTTTCACCAAGGTCACCGGATCAAGTGATCCAAACCTTTGAAATTTCATCCAACGGCCAAAAATTATTATAGCTTTTAAGAGGTCAAAACAGGTGGGCTGTTAGATGAAATTTCAAAAGTCCGGATCACTTGATCATCTGGCCTTTGTGGAAGAGATCCGGAGAAGATCTCTTCTACTAAAGTAACAATCTTTACATTCTGATGTTGCAAAGCATTCATATTGAGTGCCTGATAAATAATCGAGAACTTGGTCTTAAGGTCCTCTCGAATATGTATCTGTAGTCGGCGAACTTTGAGATTTGAACTACTTATTTTAAATCTTAAGGCTCTTATTAATCCATTCTATTAGCTCATGTTACATAAAACAAGGATCATAGTCTCTCTTTTGAACGGCCTGAGTCTCTGGGTCCGCTAACTTTGAATTTCGAGATCCGGAGAAAATCTCATTTTCTGAACTTGAGCCGAAGATAATGCCCAATTTGACTTGATGTTTTCAAGCTAGAAGGAGATGCAACGCAGGGGTTTTGAGAAATCTTTATGTCCGACTGCTTGTATTCGGCAACACGCTTGTCAGAAGTGGACGAGGGTGATACTCTTAGATATACGAGCAGTCAGATATAAGAATTTTTCAAGGGTGTTGAAGCCCAAAAAATGAACACAATGCGCTTGAAATTGATATTTCATTTTATAACACAATATTTTACTCTAAACCATTCTAATATATGAAAAAGGTGATTTTCAGCACACTGCCTTAGCTAAATGACCTACCCACATTTGTGGCAAGTCTCATACAAGGCACTTAAGGCTTCATCCACTGAAATGGTGGAGGAAGCATCTTTCTTCCGTGGCAACCTGCAAGATATTTGCTGTTAACAAGGGTAAAAGTGCTTAACAAAGCTAAGCTTCAATTGTGAAGCACCGGAGACCCGAGGCTTATGTAACCTACCTTCAAAGCTTCTGAGTTCGAGTTCTCGTAGCTCCTGAACCAGTGCACAACAGCAGCACATAAGGTGAGTAAGAAGGTCGTCACAGCAACTTCCCTACGAAACTAATTCTGGTTACGACGGATAAAAGCAGAAGCGTACTACTCAAGTAGTAATGTAGAAAGAATTATACGATGAGTACCTCTATGTTAAAAAGTTCCCGCAACTTTCTTCTCACACAGCAAGTGTAACAGCAGCAGCCTCCGAAAAGGGAGTAAGCAATAAGATTACTTGCTGCTTGCTCGTGAGCTGTAGTCCAAGGAAAAAGTCGGATCAATTAGGTCTTGTTTGTGAATGCTTCGGTTAAAAGCACTTATGCTTGTTTATGTTTATACGTGAGAGCGGGTATGCTTACATATTTTTCCTTTTGACATCACATTGGCTATCCAGGAAAATGTTCCACAGGGGTAAATGCAGGTCTTCAGGCCTGTTAAAACATGGTAATTCAAATAGTGAGAAAGTGCGTTTGGAACGGGGTTAACGCGTTTGAGAAACTCACTTAAACAAGGCTCACTGCAACAACCGAAAAGCTCAACCTGCCACTCCCCCCGGCCTTCATTCTCCGGCTGAAACCCGGGGCCTGTATAGATGGAGTTGGCATTGGTTATGCATCTGTGCCACAAATGCTTTTAATCAACCATATAATAACGCAGGCTACTAAAATGTGCTTGACGAGAAATGTTTGTTACTGGCATACGTGTTATAACACAAGTGTATTGGTCACATGTCAATGTGACGGTAGCACCGAAAAATTACTTGTGATTGGCTAGTGTACTCTCAATCCCTCAAACACTACTTACCCTGACACCACATAACTTGGTTCGTTGACAAGAAGCTTCTCAACTTTCTTTCCTGGCATCACACCACTCACTACATTTTCTGCTACGTGAATAAGATGTTCAATCATCCGACATTGATCAGGATCGTTAATCGTTATTGCTCGCTGTAGTTCGATATTCAGCTTCTCCTTCTCCTCCTGGAGTGCCTCATCAAAAGCCATGTTGGGATATTTTCGAGACAGCGCCCTCTCCAATATGTCTGCATCTTTCATTGTCTGATCAGGCTTCAACACCACACCATGAACCTCCATGTCCTGTTCATCAAGTGTATACAACCTCTGATCCTCTTCAATAGCCTCCAAGCTTTCCTTCAAATTCTAAGTTCATAGCCACAATAGTACTAGTTAATTAGTTCATAATATCCCATCAATTTAGACTTATTTTGGTTGAAAATGTTATCTTGTTATACTATTTGTATATTACGAAATAACATTCCAAACAGTCGAATGAGGAAACACCGTCATGTTACTAAATAACATGTCAAATTGTCTTATAAGAAAAGCATTGACATACTTGAAGGCGAAACTCTTGAAGCAGAGAAACCAAGGGGCGGACTAGGAGACCGACGTGGTGGTCAATCTCCGCCTGGACTTGTCGGAATTGATACACCACACTCCATCGCAGGGCAAACATGTAGAGGCAGCTGTTGTCTCTGCAACCCTGTACTAGTAGAAGCGCTTTTACAAGAGCCTTTTCAAGACCATCCAACGGCTCCTTTGTACATGGAAGCTTCATAAAGTTCGTTGATTTCATCTTCTCAAGCAAGTTTCCTACCATCCTTACAGTGCTCTGCGAGCTGCTGGCAGTTGTGGCGGTGTGTCCTTGCGCTTTGAGCGGTGGACGCAATCGTGTTTGTGAGGCTCACGGCGTCGAGTCCCGGTGCCTCTGCAAAATCTGAGCTCGCCATGTTGGACGTTGTGGAAGCTTTTGGAATGCCATGACATCTTTTGCTTTACTTTTTTTTGTTAGTGCAATGTGGTGGTACTTTGTTTGCTTTGTCGTTCTACAATTGTGAATGCTTTATCAAAGAGTTGATCTTTTTTCTTTATTTGTTTTTGCTTTGGAGGGAAGGAAATGGGCGGCCAACTTTTGTCATGAGAAATTGTGGTTATAGACAATAATCTATGTAATTGATAGTGATAAGTAGGTGAGATCACGCTCGTTTGTAATTGTTTTTAAAATAGTTGAATATACAATTTGTGAAAATGTTTATGGATTTCAAAAGCATTTAAAGTATCTTCTGCAAAAATCACTAATTATGTATTTTTCTTTATAAAAAACACTTAAAGTATTTTAAAATTACTAAAAGCATTTACAAATAACTAGAAAACTCTTTTAAAACGTTTGGCAATCCAAGTTAAAAAGTATTAAGTCACTTTTTTTTTTTTATAACACCTAGCAATCTCCAAGAAGCACTACTAATTTTTCAACAAGTTTTTGAATTTTTATTGAAATTTTCCATTTTCATCTAATAACCAGAAAAGTGCTGTATGTATAAATATTTTCATTTAATTAAGTTTTGTGCCACGAAGAGCGCACCGTCGATATGTCCGAGTGGTTAAGGAGACAGACTCGAAATCTGTTGGGCTTTGCCTGCGCAGGTTCGAATCCTGCTGTCGACGTTCATTGTTTAACTCTTTTTTTTTTTTTTTTTTCCTCTCTCAACTTCCAAGCTTTGGGCCTTGAGCTAATGGTGGCTTTATGCAGCCCATTCATAAAATTAGGAAAAATAAAAAAAAAAAAAAAAAGGTGTTATTCCCATCCCATTGTCTTATCTTTCCACCCACCTTTTTATGAATTTTTTAATTACAAATTTCTCCATTTGTAAAATGACTAATAAAGACTTTAGTTATCCCCTTTTGCATGACTCTTTTTTTTTTTTTTTTTTTTAAGAAAAGTTTGGGTGTGATAACTCTCACGTTATGTTTAAAAAATTTGTCTCCCTTAAGCCCTAACTCAGCCTTCACATCTCCTTTCATTCAGAGAAAGCAAAAAGAATGAACTTAGAAGACGACGTTTCTATGAAAGAAGTAGATGATTATGTTTCTGTTGAAGAGGTAAAAGATAATTTTATGTCGGTTATCTTGATTTGTCGACATCGAACAATTGAAGCATAGCTCTGTTACTTTTTATTTGAATTTTCATTAGGTTAGGGTGAAATTTGTTTCACGTTTTCCTATGAGAATTCCTGGAATTTGTTTTCATTAGGTTAGGGTAAATTTGTTTTTTAATGAGTTTCCTTTAATAACCGTTTCCCTCTTTATCTTTCGACGGTATTGTTAAATTTTATATAATTAATTGCCCTTCGAATAACCAGAAGGTGAAACCCAAATCTCACGCCCTTTGCTTCATACTGGGCACACATTGTTTCAAAGCCTTTTGATGGTGATGAACTTCGAAAACAAATATATATATTCCTATTTCTTTATTTCTGAACTTTTCCTTGGATAAGCCCTTGGATGTTATTAGTTCAAAAAAGAGTTGCTGGTTTTTGTTTTCGTTTTTCTTGTACCGATTATCGCTTTATCAGTAAACTCCCGCGTTTCGATGCTTTTCTGTATTTTTCTGATTAAATTGCTCTTGGTTTGTTCCTCAAAGAATATGAATTGGGATTTTTTCTGTCTTGTTTTGCTTTAGAATTCATGCTCTTCTTTTAGATCCAATTGACCATTGCTCATACACAAGCAAAATAGCTTATCAATAACAAAAATAAACAATCTAGCACAAATTAACCAATAACTTACAAAACTAGAACGAACCCAGAAATTAAAAATGTGTGACAAAGTAAGAGAATCTCCATCATATGTGGTAAAAATGGAAAATGCATATGAAAAAGAAAACAAAAGGGGAAAAAGCAAAGAATGAAAACCCATAATTCTTCATTCCCACCCCAATTGGAATTTGGAAAGGAAACGGGTTTTTTTTTTTTTCTTTTCTGGCTGAGTAATATTATTTTTTTATATTCTTTTTAAGAAAAATTTATCTCTAAATAATATTAGGTGGGAATATAACATTTTAACTTTTTTAACTTTTTTATAATGGATGTAAATATAACATGGTTAAAAAAAAAAAAGACAACGAGGTGACTATGGTAGTTAAAAAATAAAAAAAAAATGCGTTTCCGGTACCGAAGTTGAGTTGCTACTATCACAGCTTAGCTATCCGTCTCTGCTCAAAAACCCTAACCCTCTTTGCTCCGGCGCGCCAAGCAAATCAGAAACTCTTTCTCTCTAGAAACACGAACCCTAGGCGTTGCAATCCACCGGGAAGCAGCAGCAACTATGGCTTCCCACACGCCGAACCTAGAGTGCCGGATGTACGAAGCGCGGTACCCGGATGTTGACATGGCGGTGATGATCCAGGTGAAGAACATCGCCGACATGGGCGCCTACGTCTCTCTCCTCGAGTACAACAACATCGAGGGCATGATTCTCTTCTCCGAGCTCTCCCGCCGCCGGATTCGGAGTGTCAGCAGCCTCATCAAGGTTGGACGCATCGAGCCCGTCATGGTCCTCAGGGTCGACAAGGAGAAGGGCTACATCGATTTGAGCAAGCGGAGGGTTTCAGAGGAGGATATTCAGGCCTGCGAGGAGAGGTACAACAAGAGCAAGCTCGTCCACTCCATCATGCGCCACGTCGCCGAGACTTTGGGGATTGATTTGGAGGTAATTTTTGTTGGATTTGGATTGTTAGGGTTTTGTGATGTTTTGGGTTGTGAGAATTTCGTGAGAATTGTACATTGGAGAAGAAAAGTAGACTTTTATGCCGGTCTGTTGTGTTGCAACACTGGAGTTAGAAATTCATTGCTGCAATTTACACAAAAGGTTTTGTTTGGAAGTGCTTTTAAAATGGCTTTTAAAATGATTGAAAGTACTTATAGAGAAAATGTTTTTGGGTTCTAAAAGCACTAGCCCCCACTTCAAGTGCTCTTTTAGGATTCATTTGCATTTTACTAAGGATTGGTTCTAAAAATATTTTCATCGAAACCGCTTATGGTCATTTTAGAAGCAATTCCAAATAAGCCCTAAGATTGTGTGTTATTGTTAACTGGGATTTATGGATGCTGCCTTTATCTGAATGGCGGATGGTCAAACAAATTATTGATTTTTTATTACCTATCGTTTTTCATAGGAGTTTAGGCTATTACTAATTCACTTTATTTGTTACAGGACTTGTATGTCAATATTGGCTGGCCGTTATACCGGAAGTATGGTCATGCTTTTGAGGTGAGGATGTTTAACATTGTTTCAGCTTATGTTTGTGGTGTTGTTTTTCAGTAGTTAACATGATTTATTGCTCTGTGCAGGCTTTCAAAATAGTTGTGACTGATCCTGATTCAGTTCTTAGCACCCTCACATGTGAGGTCAAGGAGGCTGGCCCTGATGGACAGGAGGTAACGCCAGTTTGTGTGCGGTTTATGCCTCATATTCTCTTGTTTATGTCGCATATGTAAAGGTGTCATACTCGCTTGCATCTGAATTTGCAGGTCACTAAGGTTGTTCCTGCTGTGTCAGAGGAAGTTAAAGAATCTCTGGTGAAGAATATTAGGAGAAGAATGACCCCACAACCATTGAAGATCCGTGCTGATATTGAAATGAAATGCTTCCAATTTGATGGTGTTCTTCACATTAAGGTTCTGTTATGTCCTCCAGAGGCCGCTGCTTATTTTTCTTTCATGGTGTTTTTCTTTTTTTTTAGTGGATTTTGATTTTAGACATTGTGATCTGCAGGATGCCATGAGGAAAGCAGAAGCTGCGGGTAATAATGACTGTCCTGTGAAAATTAAACTGGTTGCTCCTCCACTTTATGTTCTTACCACGCAGACTCTTGATAAGGTTTGCTTAAACTGTGATTTAAATCTCCATTTGATCAATTATTGTTTCAATTGCACTGATTACTATGCAGAAATCTAGATTACCCAAGAAGCTGTATAGTGTCATGCTGATGTCTGCGATGTCTACATAGACTACATTGTACATTATGCTGTTGTGAATAAGCAAGTGTTTTGATTCAGGGTTTAAAAGTTTGTTTTCCTATCTAGCAAAAAGGAACATTCAAGTTCAGAGCCCGATCACTCTTTTTGTGAAGAAGTAGATCTTCAAATTTTGTACCTTGAACTTTGAATTTGAGTCAGTTAAGACATCACCTGATGGCTGTTAGGGATCACAGCTTTTTCTGCACTTGTTTTTATATCCGCTATCTACTCTTTGTTGCAAGTGTATTGTCTACATAATAGCGTGTATCTTCTATATCAACTTCAGATTTAGCGATGAGACTATTTGACCTTGCCATTCTATCACTGATTTTAGTTTCCTCTTGGTTCTTATTTATTGCTTGATTTGTATTATCAAAATCTTCAGTTCCTGCATCGATACAGCATTTGTTACGACTTCTCTTCTATCAATACCATATTTTTGGAAGCTGGAAATTTAGCATGGTTTCTGTTGAGCTTCGGACAGTTGTGAAATATGATTATAATGTTGTCACTAGCTACTTTGCTAATGAGTTTTATTATCTGTTCTGGGTTGGGCAGGAGCAAGGGATATCAGTTCTGAGCAATGCAATTGTAGCGTGCACGCAAGAAATTGAACATCACAAGGGGAAACTAGCAGTGAAGGAAGCACCCAGAGTGGTGAGTGCCAACCCTTCTTCTTCATATTTTGTCTGTTTTACATGTAATCTTGGTTTTGCCGCCTGTTTTTGATATTCAGTGGAAATTGACTTCTTATCAATTTATTATTTTAGAACCTGTAGAACTTACTTTTTATCAGAATAGTCATAGCACTGAGTTTCAAATCCATAGTAATCTCAGTTGACTTTTTCACGTAAACTTTTGTATTGCTGGGTCTAATATGGTGTACTGGTGATGTAGGTGAGTGAACGGGATGATAAACTACTTGCCGAGCACATGATTAAGCTTCGCCAGGAGAATGAGGAGGTTAGTGGTGATGAAGGTAGCGAGGAGGAAGAAGACACCGGAATGGGAGAAGTTAACGTTGACGCAGGTCCCGGCATAGTAGATTGAGAAAAAATGTGGATTAGAGATGGTGGCATAACAGTTTCCATCAAGCAAGTTCGTTTTTTGATTATTTTGTACTCTAGCTTTATTAACATTTGTATAAAACCGATTTCGACGTATTGTATCATTCAGGTATTTCGGCAATTTACCAAACTGAGCCGAATTTTTGGTGGAGGAATGCAGATACATGACACCTTTAATTTTTATTTCGACATTTAAAACAGCAATGGAGAAATGTTGTGTGCCTCTACTGCATATATTTGGGGTCGGTAGCAGCAAATAGCCATCTTCTCTCACTTCCTTCCCCTACTCCTCCTTTTGCTTATCTTTTTATGGCCTTAGGTTTCGGATGTCATCTTAGCTTTTCGTGTTTCAGTGTTCTCTGAGCTGTTGTTCCTCTCCAAATATTGTTTTCTCACCGTGAATCTACAACCATCTACCCGTGCTACTCATTTTATCGAGTATCGCCTCCAAGGATCACCTCCGGTGACACATTCTGGTTGTCGGTAACATTTAAAGTGCAATTTGCATTATTTGGTAGGATAAAGGGAATGCTCATAGTCTCATTTTTCGTTCGTTCTTTTTGTTATTTGGTCTTTCTTCCAGGTGGTGGCGGTGGACTTCTTGTGGTGGGACGGCTCATTTGGTGGAGGTGGTTGCTTTACTTTGAGTTGTTGTTATCTTGTATTGTGACAATAAAATAGGCATATATGAGGCTCCAACCAAGGTTTTCGTTTGTCACCACATAGCAAGGCGTCAGTTAAGTTAACTAATCTGCTTATAATTTCAATACGTTAATTAACTAATCATGTATAACTGTCAACCAAAAGTATCTCCACATTAGCTAGACTGATTATAGCTGACGTGGCATTATCACTATCTATTACTAACAATAGTATTTCGGTAATGCTAGGGAGACCATTTATACGAACCATTTTATGTAAGGATAATGTTAGAGAGACGAAATTTTTTAAACCAAATGATATGATTGTTGATGGTTGAATTATTACTTAAGTGTAGATTAATGTGTTTATTTTCTATTAGTGACATATTATTTAGTTTGCAATTTGGTTTAAATTTTTAGTCTCTCTAATATTACCCTTTATGTAAACTATATAGCGTGATTGTTGATGATTTGTTTTACTTTAAAAACACATTTCCAAACGATCCAAGCTTGCATTCATATCTTGGTCTTAAAATGACTCACATACTTATTACAACCCATCAGTATTTTGTCGCTTAGTCCTATAGTTTAATAGTATTTCTCTTTACTTGTAAGTGAAAGATCTTAGGTTTAATTATTGTCAAAAACAAATTTAAACCATTATTACTAGCTCATTGTAAGACTTAACCCGTAATATCTTTTGCTAAAAAATAAAAAAAATAAAGCTCACCATTATTTTATGGAAGTTTTAACGAAAAACCCTTACTTTAACCAAAAATCATATTTTTACACTAAAAAGTCAAACCTGATACTATTCACTTTACCCTTTATTTTATCCTTATCGTTAAAACTCAAACATTTTCTATTAGTTTTCCTATATTCTATACAAAAATGATTTGATAGTGTAAGTGTAACTAATTCTGCGGACGCAAGTGTTCCAGATAGAAATGAAAATAACATAATTAATTGCAGACAGAGTTCAATAAACGAGCAGCTACTCCATCGGATACCGACATTTCGAAAATCCTTATAAAAATACCGCGTACTCCTCCCTCCATCTCCAATCCACTCGATCACCTCCGTCCTCCCCAGTCCATATAAATACACTTCCCTCTCTCACTCTCTCTCTCTCTCTCTCTCTCTCTCTCTCTCTCTCTCTCTTTCTCTCTCTACAATCTACACACAGAGATATCAGCCAACAATGGCAATCTCAGTCTCCAGCTTTTTCAAAGAGCGAAAATTCCTCTTCGTTTTCACACTCTCACTCCTACTCGTCTGCCTCACAATCCTCCTCTTCACCAGCACCAGCACCCCTTACCCTCTCTTCTTCTACTCCGATCTCCAAACCTCGCAACCCATCTCTCCTCCCGCCCCCTCCAACCCCGCCGGAGCGGCGACCCAAGTAGACAACCTCGTTTGGCAGGAACCCTCTTTCCCTGTTTCTGGGAATTCGAATTGGAACCTCTGTACGGGTCCGGTGGCGGTCGATTACATTCCGTGCTTGGACAATTTTAAGGCGATCAAGGCGTTGCAGTCGCGGCGGCATATGGAGCACCGCGAGCGGCACTGCCCCCAGCCGCCACCAGCGGTGCCTGGAGCCGCTTCCCAAAGGGTACAAGGTGCCGGTTTCGTGGCCTCAGAGCAGGGACATGGTGAGATTTTTACTTTGGTAAGAGTTGTTTCTGGTTTTTCTCAAATGGGCTTTGTTGATTTGATTCAAGAAGGCGGGTAATTTGGTGTGTTTCTGGTTTTTCTCAAATGGGTTTCTTGATTTGAATGAAGAAGTCGGGTGATTTGGTTCGTTTTGAGAATTGGGTTTATTGGTTTGATACTTGAAGCAATCGGCTTTCAATTTAATTTTCCAGGAAAATTTCATGATTTCCTTTTTGTGAAAATGTTTTTGGAATTGTGAAGTGGTTGTTGGCTTCGTCTGTTTACTTGCACTCAATAATGTATTGGTGATGTTCTCTGTTTCTAGATATGGTATAACAATGTTCCTCACCCGAAGCTCGTCGAGTACAAGAAGGACCAAAATTGGGTGAAGAAGTCTGATGACCATCTTATTTTCCCCGGGGGTGGTACTCAGTTCAAGGAAGGAGTTGATCACTACACTGATTTCATTGAAAAGGTACAGTGCTACCCCCGCTTTTGCTTTTACATTGCTTGTGAAAATGTTGATTTGGTTTCTATTTTTTTCGTTGTAGACTTTGCCAGTGATTGAATGGGGGAGTCACGTAAGGGTTGTTTTAGATGTTGGTTGTGGTGTTGCTAGCTTTGGTGGCTATTTGCTGGATAAAAATGTTATTACCATGTCATTTGCCCCGAAAGATGAACATGAAGCTCAGATACAGTTTGCTCTTGAAAGGGGGATTCCTGCTACTCTCTCAGTGATTGGAACGCAAAGGCTGACATTTCCAAATGATGCATTTGATTTAATTCATTGTGCAAGGTGTCGGGTTCACTGGGATGCCAATGGTACTGTCTAAATAAATCACTTCTTTCTATCAAGTTTGGAAGTTCTTTCTTTATGCACTATTCTCTGTCGTATTTTCTATGGTTATTTTGACGGTTTTTGGTTAGTGTAGGAGGGAAACCACTACTGGAGCTCAACAGGGTTCTTCGGCCTGGGGGTTTTTTCGTATGGTCAGCTACACCAGTTTATCGCGACAATGAAAGAGATACAAGTGTATGGAAATGTTCGTAATCCAACTCTATTTCTCTCTTTCACTCATCCTTATAGTGACCTTCTATTTTCTTTACTGGACTGCATTTCATGGAAGCTTTAGAGCTTAGACTTAAGCAATAAAATGTACTATAAAAAGCGAAGATACGTGGAGCTGACCTACGTTTGATATTCATCATGTTTCTTCCAGCAATGGAGGCTCTGACAAAATCAATGTGCTGGGACGTTGTTGCTAAGACTGTTGATTCAACTGGAATTGGGCTTGTAATATATCAGAAGCCTATCTCCTTTGCTCGATATTTCAAACGCAAAGAAAAGCATCCACCTGTTTGTGGTCCTAAAGAGAGGAAAGTAGGTGCATGGTAATTTTCTGGTTATTCTCTCTCCTAGCGCTGCTACTTACTAGCAGTGGTTGTGTAAAGCTTTTGACGAACAGAAAACTAGTCTAAGCAGAGTACCTTTAGACTCTCGTAATTTTGCCTATGTTTTTGTTACAGGTATGCGCCTCTCACTGCTTGTCTTACCCCACTACCTCACTATGGCTGGCCCGTGCCCTGGCCTAGCAGACTTACCGGTAAACCTCCAAGCCTAAATCATGACCCGGAAGGGGAGGAATTGTTCTACAAGGACACCATTCAATGGACTGCGCTTGTGTCAGATGCCTATCAAAAAAATGCTGCTATAAATTGGTCGACTGTGCGGAATGTAATGGATATGAATGCTGGTTTTGGAGGGTAAACATATTTTCATTTTTATTTTGTCATCATATTGCTTAGCCGTTGGGGTCAGATGATCACTCCAATGCTGCTCTAATCCAATCCTCTTTTACCGGTGGTGCCTTTCAGGTTCGCTGCGGCACTTACCGATCAACAGCTCTGGGTAATGAATGTCGTCCCATTCATCTACCCAACACTCTGCCGGTTATTTTTGACAGAGGGTTGATCGGAATATACCATGACTGGTGCGAGTCTTTGAATACCTACCCTAGAACCTATGATCTGCTGCATTCCAGTTTTCTCTTCGAAAAACTTCCAGACAGGTACAGTATGATTTCTCACTGCTCTTATAACCTTTTGATTGCTATAGATCTTCTAATGAAAGTATGTTAGTACTAGTTTCGCACACAAGTCAACAATTTTGATTGATACTAGTCTTCGATTTTGTCAGATGCAACATTGTAGATGTTGTGGTGGAGATGGATCGCGTATTAAGACCCGGTGGATATCTAGTGGTTCGGGACACAGTTGAAGTGATAGACAAGCTGAGACCGATTCTGCAGTCGCTTCACTGGTCTACAGCCCTCTACCGAGATCAGTTTCTTTTCGGTAAGAAAGGTTTCTGGCGTCCTTCGAGAGGTGCAAGTAACTCATGATTGGAGTTGCTCATCATTTTGTTATACCTGTACGATCTTATATCATATATATTAACCAACCGTGAGATAGAAATAGAACGTTTTCGACATTTTTGTTTTGTTTTCGACTCGCAAAATAAGCGTCTTACACGATCATAGATAAAATTTATATTCATACCTGTAATGGAATGATAAGATAATACAAATAAAATGCAGATTATTACATCTATACATAATCAAGCATAAACCAGATACTTGGAAGCCAAGAAATCTTGCAAACGGAACAAGAAGAACAACGGCAACAATTCCCGTTGTCGTCACGAGACAGACAAACAATGGAAGGTGGAGTTATCCATGGTGAGGCTGCCATCAATTGTTGCAATAGTTCTTGAATAACAACCATACTCATCTCTGCAACTAAAACTCTGATTAGTATCTGCATTCCCAGAGAGAACAGAGTGGTCCTTCACCTCCATCCACCCTCTCGAATCCTGACGGTTATAAACCCGCCTCGAATATCTTCCGTGCAGGCTCTTCTCCTTCAACGAATGCGACAAATTGGTCACCAGCAAATAGGTGTCCTTCCGCCACCCTGGTAGCGTGGCGGTGATCATATTGAGAGGGTACCTCCTCTTAACTTTACTCCTCAGCACCGCCGCGCCTATCTGATCCACAACCTTCACTTCCCTCTTCGCCCTCACTTTCTGCTTCACCAATTTGTAAGTCCCACTGTTGGCGAACTTAATCGAGTTCCTGAACTCGTACTGCTGGGAAACTGTGGTGGTGAAGTTGCCAGAACTCGACAACACCCAACCCACAAATTGGCTACTCCTCTCTGCCCTGATGTCGAAAGACCCATCAAGCTGTTTGAACTGCGAGCGGCGCTTTACCCTGACTGCCGGAGGCAGAGGTAAAAAACTGCGTCTTGCTTGCACGGTTTTGGACTGATGATCCAGCCAAATGTGCAGATTGGCATCCACAAGCCAGTACGAAATCGCATCCGTCACTCCGATTCCGAAGTTGTGAGGTTTTCCATCTAGAAGCTTCTCCAGAAATGGCGTCAGTTCTAGATCGTAGGAAGGAAGATCGAATGCCCCGATCGCCACCACCGGCTCCCAAAACAGAGGGTTAATGCCGCCAGTGAACACCACCGGAAACGGAACTTCCGACCCCACCAAGTCGCCGTCAATCGTCACGAAAACCTCCCTGTAAGCTCCGTGTCCTCTCCCCGTCGTTAAGTGGTTCGTCGAGATGTATATATCCGGCGGATTCGAGTACCAAAACTCGTCGTTTCCGTGGAACGACACGTACAGTTCCAAAACGACTCGCCTTGCGTTCCGAGGAATTCGAATTGCCTTTGAGTGTAAATCGAATTCGCTCTCGATTCGGAACCAGAATCCTTTGTTTCCGGTATCTGATATCGGGAGGATCAAATCGGCCGGTTTGTCTGGGACGATACCGGAAATTTGATTTGGGATGATCGAAGAAACCTTAATAGGCGAAACGGCGGCGTTTTTGTCGTAGGAAAGGACATGGTCGTAGAAAAGGAATGAACTTCGACGTGGTAAACGCCGGTGTAGTCGCAGTTGACGACGTTTTCGAGCATCATGGTGAGGTTGAGGCCGGAGCGTGAGAGGAGAGAGGAGTACTTTGTGATATCCTTTCGAACCTTCCAGAAGATTCCGTCCTCCGTGGGCTCGGCCGTGCTGGTACGGAGGATCTCAGTGCCGCCGAGCCACAAGCCGGCGATACGGTCGTACTGCTCGCCTTTGCATTTGGCACGAAACTCTAGGGCGACGTGGGACCACCCGGACCAGGGAGGGGAGGATGAACAACCGGACGGCGGGGAGTAGGGGGTGGAGAAAGGAGGGCCGTTGATTGTGTTGGCGAAGGAGTGGGTGAGCACGCGGAGGGAGCAGGACGGGGTGAGACGATCGAACCGCAGGGGTTCACCAAGCTCGAAGTACTCTTGGGACGCGTGGCGGTGGAGGGAAGAGGGGACGGATTTGGTGAAACGATCCGGGGAGGAGGACGGTGATACCGGGTTTGTGAGGAGGAGGAGGAGGAGGAGGAGTGAGGCGTACATTTTTGCTCTGCAGCGGAGGGAGAGTCACAGTAGAGAGGTGTCATGGGTAATTTGAACCAACTGCCAAGGGAGCCAAAATTTGCACTCATAGTCCCCGCGTTTATTTGGTTTTTCACTTTCGTCTTGCATTTACGCCTTCGTAGTTTTGGCCTCTAAAATTATCCTAACTTCATTTGGTTTCTAAGATTTAAAATCGATAGAAATAATTCATGAAATTATCTAGTACTCCATCGTTAATCATTTTGGTCATTATATGAAAAATGTATGTTGAATTGAAGAAACCATCAATTTAAGTGAATGAGTTAATTTGACAAAAAAATACCCTCAATTTAACAGAGATTTTTCACACGACCAAAATGATTGACGATGGACAATCATAGCGACTACTTCGATTTGAGGGACCAAAGTGAAAAGTTATGCCAATCTTAAAGATATTTTGGCTAAAAAGTCTTATTTTTTGTTAGCAATGTTAGCCTAATCCATTAAATGAGTAAAACATTCGACTTAATTGATGAATTAGACTAAAATGAAGGCACAAGAACAAAAATGCAATGAGTACAAATTCACTAGAACTAATAGAAACTCCAATGCAAAATACAAATGAGCGAAGTTTCCCAAGTTTATATGGTATCACCCAATAGGACCAAATGTGAAATTGGCTTCCAACTTGTTCCTCTATTCATCGTTGTCCCTTAATCCAATCAATATATAAGGTGTGCAAACAAATCAATAATGTTTTTTTGGATATATCATATGTGGTCTTCAATGCGATCAGTAAATGCAGTTCAAATTAACCTTTCTACTATTAAGAAACTTAGTTATATCATCGTACCCCATAGAATTAGCCATGTATAGAGGGGTGGCGCCGCCGTTGCTCTTGGCATTTACATTAGCCCCAAGATCTCAACCGTCTCTAAGCTCCCGCCGCCAACGGCCATGTGCAAGGGTCCCAAGTCCGACCGAAATCGGATAAGCACCCGTGCAACGTGGTTGTGGCCCTTGATGACCACGACATGCAGGGCTGTCAAGTCGTATGATCACGGCAGTTTATATCTGCGCCATTTTTTAACAGCAATTCAACGTCCTTCAAATCTCCTCTTCTCGCTGCTATCAACACTAATTCTCCCATCTCTAGTTTCCACGTATCCAAAAAAACTATAATCAAATATCAAGCTTATATTGAATTAAAAACAAAAATAAAATTCCTTTCGTATCTTCGAGGTTAAAAAAAAAAAAAAAAGTATTAAAAACAAAAACAGGGAGGATCTGGAAATGTAATTGGGCTTCATATTAACCAGAGTGGGATGAAGCCCAAAATTATCTAACAAGTTCCGTACAATCATTTTTTTCCCTCTGCAAACACTTGTTTCTAAGTCCTTTGATTCCCATTTGATCTTTTACGGTTGTTTTTGTACCTAACAAAATTTGTGTTTGTCGTCTTTGTGACGTGTGAAATCATTCTAAACTCAATTGATTAGCATGTAACACAAACTCATCCGCAATATACGAATGGAAGCCTTTTAAGGGAAGAGATTTCCATTTTTTTTATAAAAATGGGGATTAGTTGTGGGGTGGGGTCCACACGACATTGAATTTTAATGATTCGAACCGTTTATTTTTCAAGTTGCACCTCATAGATCATTTTTGTAAAATATTAGCTAAATCAGAAATATTTAAGACATTTAATTGAGTTCAAAAAAATTAATGAATACTTTGTTATATAATAAACAATGAAAGTTTATCTTGATAATTAAATAGGCAAATGATTTTGGATTGTATTAATTTTTGGTAAGGATAATTTATGAACCGAGACTTACAAACTAGATTGTCTAAATTGTTGAAGTTCGATGTAAAATGAACCTCACACCTAATTCCTATTATTTTTGGAAAAAATGAACCCCACACCTATTTCGGATATGACCTGATGAAACTTGGTCGTAACACTTAATTTTCGTGTGTGTTCGTGTTGTGTTATTGTAGTGGTAAGTTGTAACACTAGGTAAGGCCTAGCAAACATAATTTATAAAAACTAAACCAATAAACAACTTACATCCTTGTTATGAGCAAAATCATGGCGCGAACGGCTGTGATCAATTGTTGTAGTGGGATCCGCACTAGATTCCCTCAGTCCCAGAACGTGATCCAATGACCATACGTCTCTGCCATGTGTATCTCATCGCGTTCATAGAGATTTTTTAGTGTGATTAGTACACGGAATGGTACACCACGTATCATTATACAGATGGTGGAATATGTGAGCTAAAAAGTTAACAACTTAAAAAATAAAATTTTCCACCATTCTATTAAAACACATGGTGTACCACTTGTGTTCCCGTTACAACTAAAAATTTCTTTGATATGCATTTGAAATCTTCCTTGTAATATACTTGACCACAGCTCACGTTTGCCCTGATCCGACCAATCCTCAACCCCACTTCGAGGAGTAAGTTAATCAAGTTCTCCAACTCGGTTGCAATCCGGAAGATCGACTCAGCTTTCGCGAGCGGCAACAATCCTTTGCCACTGATTATAAAGAAGAACTCCTTCAAAACCAATGCTTATATAAATCACTAATTTTTTACTGAAATCAATGACTAGGATCCACATAAGTAAATTCATTAACTTCATATTAATTCACACATTTTACATTTTTCACATGCCTAAAATACCCCCATTACATACTTGATGTAGACAATTAATTGTAAGGAAATAGTAAATGATTTTGCAACAAGAAAGAAAAAGACATTAATGTTAAAAATTTATTGCATATTAATTTTTTAGAAAGGTATTGAATTTTCATAAAAATATTCGATTCAGTTTTTTCACCCTACTCTTGAATACTTTTGAATTTATCCTTTTTTTATTAATATATTAGAACATTGTATTTCATTATGTACATGCACCTTAATTTACCTACGAAATTATACCATGGGTGTAATTCGATGTATATTAAGAAGAAATGTAGTTCGATGTATATTAAAAAGAAGAAATAATTTACCTATATTAAAAAGAAATGTAGTTTGATGTATAGTATTAAAAATACTATATTACACCCATGTTTATACAACAATAAAACGTGCCTAACATATCTAACAATACATGAAAAATAATTTACCTACAAGTTAGAGAAATGTTATTTGGTTGGGTTTAGTATAAATTTTTTTAATAATTGGAAAAATTAAATATAGCTAGGTGTAGTGTAATTTTTTTTTATATAATTAGAACAAATTAATTTACCTACCTACTCTTTGAAATGTTCATTTCCAATGATGCAAAATGTTCATTACCAAACTTCAAATTAATTTCCAATAATTTACCTACAACAATTATACCGTGGGTGTAATGTAACATCTTTCTTTACAATGATACAAAATATTGTATGTACCAACAACAAAACTTGCCTAACATAAGTACTTGTACATGGAAAATAATTTACCTATAACAAAAGAAATGCAGTTTGATGTATAAAATCAACAATATTATGTTCCACTCATGTTTATACAACAACAAAACGTGTCTAACATATATAACAATACATAGAAAATAATTTATCTACAAGTTAGAGGAATGTTATTTGATTCAAAATATATAATATAGGTGGTTTTTTTTTTTAATAATTGGAACAACTATTTACTACAATTAATATGATAAATTGCTACAAAATATTCCACGAAAGAAAAAACTACTTTTCTAGTTTGACATAGATATGGTTAACAAACACTTTTTTCATTTTATTTCACTTTTCTTACTACTTATTGGCATAATTTAGGAAAAAAGGATCTAAAGTAGAGTGGCGAGTGTAAATGAATGTATTAATAGGTCAAAGTGTTCCTAGGTTTGCAATTTAAATTGGGTAAACGGGATCTTTAAGATAGATAGTTAAGTAAGAAAAATCCTTGATATATTCTGACGCCGTCGTAGTCCCTGACAAGTGACGACGTGGTGTAAGAGCAAGGGCCCACGAAGGCGACCTTGAGCTTGATTTCGTGAGTGGACCCGTGGGGAAATGAGGAGCTGAAGAACCAGTGGTTGATCGACTTGGAGTAAGTTGACTTGGTGGTGGGGAACTCGATGGTTTTGATGAGGAATCCGTCGGACGGCGAGCAAGGGTAGACGAGAGGTAGCTGGGCCTAGGGCTTGAGGATGACCTGGAAGGTGACGTGGGGAGAGAAGCGGGATTAAGCCGATGGGCGGTTTGACGAGGAACTTATGAGGGGAAGAGGTTTGGACCTTGAAGGCTACGGCGGCAGCGGCGCATAGGGAGGTCAGGCGCACGTTAGCGCAGCATTTGGAGTCGAGTGCGAAGTCGATACAAATTTCTTGCTCTAAAACCTGTATTAGTTTCTTATCCATCGGAATATGGACTGGACTAGATTGGACTGGAGAATGTGAGATTGTCCAATTGAAAGAGGAGGAGTTTGTGGGTGGAGCGTGGAGAGGGATGAGATTTACAATTGTGCTGTCGCGTACCAATTTGATATCACGTGATTATGTGGGTCCAACATCTAGAAGCCACGTCATTTGACTCACGGGGCTTTTGTCCTATCCCTGTCCCTTTTTGAAATTACCCATTTTGATATAAAAAAAAATTCATCGTTACTGTAATAAATGTGTTGTATTGTTTTTTTTTGGTCGAAAAAACACTCTATTAATGTAAGGGAAATTACAATGTGAAAGATGGGTTTAAATCCAAACAAAACACAAGGTCTTACATAAAACAAAGTAGAACATAAAAGATAAAACAGACCCAAGCAAAATAGAGCACCCACCCAAAACAGAAAGGGAGCCCATACACTATTAGGCCCGCAGGCAACAAAAGCAGAAAAGCAAAAAAAAACACCCAAATCTTCAGCATCCAAAAGACCGCCACCGCCGCTTCCACCCTGAAAAAATCGGTCGCCCCAAAGGAAAAAGAAAACCCGAGCCATAAACTAGATCTGAGAGTATTGTGCAAAACCCATCCACAAAGAAACAAAGCCTTAACATCCTCACCTGCAAGGAAGGTCACAAAACGTAACAGGATGAGAGGGAGGGCAAATGGGGTGTGTAAAACAACCATATTCTAATGTGAATTGTTCCACATTTCGCCCAATTTTTTCGGCAAGCCGGTTTGACAGTGGGCTAGGAGGGTTAGGGTCTTATGTCAAAATAGAGCCCAAAACTCCAAGACCTAAATCATGATTATGAGTTGGAAAATAAGAGTGGAAGCAAGATGAAGGATGGAAAAATGAGTGCAAAGGCGAGGGGAAAAGGGGTAGGCAATGAGCAGCTTATGGATGAGAAGTAGGGAGAGATCCGAGACAAAGGCTTAGAGATTTGAGCGACATTGATCTCCAAAAAGGCATGCCAAGGACCCACAAACCGACGGAGCCGATTTTGGAGCGATGGGAGCCAAAAGAGGGTGGGAGAAAGGAAGAAAGAAGGAAACGAAAGCAAGAAAGACGGCTATGGAGGGTGGGGAAGAGGTTGGAAGGAGGAGAAGAGAAGGTGCCGCCAGCCCAAGCTATAGCAAGGGCCAGTGGCGCCATTGAAGCTAGGGTTTGGTGCTCTTTCAAAGAGAGGTTAGTTTGGTGCCCTTTATTGCTCGTTTTTCCTTTTGAAATGGAGAATTAAGAAAATCGAATTGATTGTAGCTTTTTAGAGGTTTTTCACAAATGTGTTGTATTGTTATTTATAGGATTAATAGAAGTTCCAGACCCATTAAGGTCTCTTATCTTATATAATCATGGGTTATATGATTATTTGCATGTGGTTTTACTTTTTGTCCAAATATTTTCAAATTTAATATCTCAATATATGTAAGTAAATAAGAAGTAACATTTTTAATGAGATGGCGCCATTACTCATTAGACAAATAAGTAAAAATAACCTTTACTTGTGCAAAAGACATTTTTTGAATTACGACGCGCTACATGATACTTACACATTTTATTACGGGCAGTCGGCATTACGTGACACACCCCAACCGAAATCAAGGCGTGCTGGCCATCACGGGAGTGTATAGTATGGGTGTATGTGTGTGTGTCCTGTATAGTTAGCCCCCCAAAAACAAATAAACAACACCCCAAAATGGCAAATACCCACCAAGGGCAAAATCCTCATTTCACACCTACGGTACAAATAATTCGGGACAGGCTATCATACTACGCGCCCCCTAAAAATCTTTTATGTGTGTCCAAAGTCCAAACCACATGTTTGGCAAGCGTCTCATTTTTTAATTAATGAATCAATTTTTCTTACAAAAAGTATGAAACAATCTTGTTGCATTGTGAGAAGGTTTGAACTAAATGAATAATATTAGATCATGCTAGAAGAAATCCATGGATATTCCACGTAATAGTGAGATACTAATTTTTTTTAAAAAAAAATTTATGCAAAAAAAAAAAAAAAAAGAACATTGTTTTCATGATGAAATTACCCCCTGCATTATTTTGGGCTGCTTTTGAACTTTTTTGTTTGGGGGGCATTTATGTCCAAATTTTTTTGGGTGAAACCTAAAAGATTTTCAATGAGAAGATGCCATAAGATAAGATAAATAAGAGCAATGCTTGAGTCAGTCCGTCCACATGCAAGTGCGCGAGCGGGTAAGGATATGTTATTGCATCTAGATTTTAAAATAATGGATGAAGGACCTTTGTGACTCTCTAATAATAGAAAACTCGCATGATTATGAATTGTATAACTCACAATTATTTTGTATGGATTTCATACCTTTTACGTGAAAGTTCAGCGCATTGCACCGGACTCATAAAAGTTGTATAACTAAGCTTTTTTCGAAATGAATTAATTGGTTAACAAAATTTTATTGTTTTAAAATCATAGATTTTCTTTAAATACAACGAGGAAAAATAAATGTGTGTTAAATTTTTTATTTATGAGATTCAAACATATTACCTCTCACTTACAAGTGAAAATAAATATCAATAGATGGTGTATTAATATTCAACTATTGGTACGAAAAAAATTATATTGAGTCCACACATTTTCCCGTGAACAAATGAAGACATATATATGATATGCATGAAGACAAAAAACACATTTGTTATAACTTTAAATTACATATGTATTTAAAGCTCAAAAACGGTTGTATTGGGTGCATGCACATACTTTGGCCAAACTGGCAAAATACAACTCATACCGTAATTGAAAATACGAAATATAGAGCAAATGACGCCTAAAACTACGATGTTCCTATCTCTTTTATCTTTTAATTTAGTGACATTTCTTTTTCGACATTAGAAGTATTTCAATAAAAAAAAATTCAAAATTCATGTTCTAGTACCAATAACTAGTACACACAATGATTAATTACTCAATACACTAGACACAGTGTACTTAGCTGTAAAAACGAATGTTTGACCCAATCTGGAATTACGTTGACATTATTTAATTTTGTTGAACAAAAAAATGTTTTGAAATTCCAAAAAGATATCCTTTCTTCTTATCTAGGACTAGGACCAATACTTAACGTCAGATACCTAATTAGGCACCAAAATTCCTATCGTGATTTGCATAAATAACCCTCAATGGAGACCCACCAAAGACTCGCTAGTCACTAGAGCACCCTAATCCCTCTCTCTCTCTCTCTCTCTCTCTACCCATCATGTGGTCACCATGGCTGAAATCACCGAGCAGGGTGCACACAAACAAACCAGCGCGGTCACAGAGGAGCTTTTCCTGCTCATCCTTCAAAGACATCCAAAACCTCTGCAAACCCGAACCCGAATCCGAGGTCCTAAGCCCGCGGAGCGCTTCCATTTTGCACCGGGTCAAAATATCCACCTCAGTCCTTCGCTTGTGGGCCCACCGAAACGCGACTCCACCAGACGCCGACCAGCGCGTGGTAATCTACTACACCAGCCTCCGCGTCGTCCGCAGGACCTTCGAGGACTGCAAAGCCGTCCGATCCATTCTCCGCGGATTTCGCGTCCCCATCGACGAGCGAGATCTGTCTATGGACGGGAAGTTCCTGGACGAGCTGCAGGTGATTACAGGGAACAAGACCCTGACTCTGCCGATGGTTTTCATTGGCGGGCTCTTCATTGGTGGGGCCGAGGAGGTCATACAGCTCCACGACAGAGGAGAATTGAAGAGGCTGATCGAACGGCTACCAGTGGTAGACTCCAGAGCGTGCGATTTGTGTGGAGGGCTGAGATTTGTTCTCTGTCAGACGTGTGATGGGAGCCATAAGGTCTATTTTGAGAAGATTGGGTTTAAACCTTGTACCGCATGCAACGTCAACGGTCTGATTATGTGCCCTTCGTGTGCTCCGGTGCGGCGGCGCCACAGAGAATTCTAGATTTTAATTTTGCCCCATTCGATTAATTAAGTGAACTGAAAAAAAAAAAATAGAACACAGTTTGCGTTTTTTTTTGGGTGTTAATTTGCTTAGTTTTGGGGGAATATGAATGTGATGATTAATTGAACTTATAATTTTTATTCTATCTAGCTAATTAAGTTGGAATTTTGTTATTTTTTGAGGAACATCGAATTGTCCTATTCGATTTTTTGTTGAATGAAATTCTCTTTATTTCATGCAAGAACAACTACAACCGAATGTTGTCTTATTAAATAAGGTCAGCTGTATGAATCATAGAATGTTGATGCGCTCAATTTGCACTAAGACTTCCGTTAACTCTAAGTACTTCATATTTTTTCTTAAAGTTTATTTCCATGTTTTCTTAAGTTTTCCAAAGCCTTCATCTCATAGTTTCATCTTCAATCGGAGTATATGTAGATCTTCGATTCATGTGTCCAAACTAATTTAACTGATTTTCTCTTATCTTATCTTCAATTGCGACCACTCATATGTTACTTTAAATATCTTTAATGAAATATTATCATCTCCGCTACACTCATTGTTGCTTTTTGACCGTTCAACATTCCATATTATAAAAAAATTGTTGATTATATTACCCTTCTATAAAGTCAATTTCTTTTATGCACGAAATTAAATTTTGTAAGAAAAAGGTTTGAATTTGTTGCTTTTGTCGGAATTCCTATTTTTCCAATGTAAACGGGTAGTGAATTGCCTTCAAATTAAAGTGAAAAAAAAATATCAACATTGTACAAGAAGTTGTAAGTTTGATTCATTCCTCTCCTCTCCAATATTGCTTCTTTAATCTCTTCATTTCAAAGACATCTTTTGTGTGCAAATCAAAAGCGCGTGAGTGCGTAGCAAGATGATAGTGTCTAGAATTAAAAAAAGCGTTGGTGCGTCATTTAGTACTACAGTTTAGTGATATTCATCTTCACTTGTAAGTGAGAGGTCTTAAGTTCGATTATCTCCAAAGACGAATTTGAACCACATTATTGTTTACCCATTGTAAGACTAAACCAAATTTTTTCTTTTATATAGACAATATCGTTTGTTAAAAAAAAAAAAAAAAAACAAGCAACATTGGTGTGGTCAAAATTGGATTTTTAAGTCAATGAATGAAGACATTGGATAAATAAGGTAAAATGAGGCTATATTGTGTTCGGTAAGATACGCAATTCATATATTACCAAAACTGCACCGAACCGTTTCGGACTTTTAAAAAATCATCCAAATTATCCTTTTTTGGAAATCCTACCAACTACCAAAGTGTTTAGTAATTATCTTTTCTTTTTCATTTCTTAATTTTCTAACATACTCGATATGTTTTAAAATATTACACAACTTAATATTATTTACACACATAAAACATATTACGTCATTCCCTAATACAGGTGGATCCTGTAAATAATGATATAATCACAACAATTATCAAAAAGTTTGTCAACTCAATTTTGTATCTAATTAGAACCTTCTCTATCTATAATGCATGATATCTAATGCTAGTGAAAACCTGCCGAGCACTTGGACTAGAGAATGCGACTGAGAAGCGCAATGACTGAAAGCATTTTTAGAGAATATTTTTGGGTTCTAAAAATATTTAAAGTGATTTTTTGCAAGAAGCACTAGTTGTGTGTTTCTTGTAGAAAATATTTTAAGTGGTTTTCCAAGATTAACTTGACTTTTTACTTAAGATTGGTTCAAAATACATTTTCACAAAAAGTGTCTTCATCCATTTTAAAAACTATTTCGGACAAGCTCTTAGCTACTCGAACGAGACAACTGAAGCTGAAAAAAAAAAAAGAATCATCTGGCATACACATTTCAAGTGTCATCTTGTTTGGAATTTCAGTAAATTTTCCTATAAAAGAATGAGAAATTAGGTTTAAAATCTTATTCATTTTCAATTTTTTTTATCAAGGTCCTTAGGTTGTAATAAATGTCATTAATTATTTCTAAATATATTCATTTAGTGTTAGAAATGTTACATTTGATATATTTATATTTATGGCTAAATTTTTTATCATATATTTTTATTTTTATTTTGCACCCATTTTTAATTTGCAACCTTTTTTTCTTTTTTTAATTTTTACCAATTTTGTTTTTAGTTTCATTTGTACCCATATATTAATTTCTTTTTATGCCCATATTTTTAAAGTTTTATTTGTATTTGTACCCATTTTTAATTTTGCTAAATGTACCCATGCTAATTATGTCACATCCCGGCCCGGGCCCCCACCACAACCTGAGCCCGCTCCACTACCGTAGCACGATATTGTCCGCTTTGGGCTTACCATTCCCTCACGGTTTTGTTTTTGGGAACTCACGAGCAACTTCCCAGTGGGTCACCCATCATGGGATTGCTCTAGCTCCCTTCTTGCTTAACTTCGGAGTTCCTATGTAACCCGAAGCCAGTGAACTCCCAAAATGCCTCGTACTAGGTAGGGATAGAAATATACATTTAAGGATCACTCCCCTGGGTGATGTGGGATGTCACAATCCACCCCCTTAAGGGCCCGACGTCCTCGTCAGCACACCACGACCAAGGTTAAGCTCTGATGCCAAATTGTCACATCCCGGCCCGGGCCAGATCACTTCCCGGGCTCGACTCCACCACCGTATCACGATATTGTCCGCTTTGGGCTTACCATTCCCTCACGGTTTTGTTTTTGGGAACTCACGAACAACTTCCCAGTGGGTCACCCATCATGGGATTGCTCTAGCTCCCTTCTCGCTTAACTTCGGAGTTCCTACGGAACTCGAAGCCAGTGAGCTCCCAAAAGGCCTCGTACCAGGTAGGGATAGGAATATACATTTAAGGATCACTCCCCTGGGTGATGTGGGATTTCACAAATTATATGTATTTATTTTATGTTTTAAAATATATCAATAGTTTTTTTTAAAAATATGTTGGTAATTATGTGGTTACATTATTTTCTTGCTATAATTTTGTGAAGAACAATATTACTAATATTTATTTTTAAGTATTTATTATATTTTTAAAATATTTTAGAATTTGTTTAAATTTCATAATATGTGGGACATTAAATCATAAATGCGTGAATTAAATCTCATTGAATGATGTTAAGGACCTCGATAAAAATATTTAAACAAACAAGGTTTCAGTCTAACAATTAAGTTGATTAGGGATCGAAACCAAAATGACCCTAAAAAGAATTATACATGAACAAAGCTAGAATTGAACTTTTAACCAAAAAAAATGAAATTCTCAATGGGTTAAATCAATTAAATTACGATTTATTATTAATTTAGGATCCTTTCATATCCATTTTAATTAAAATTTTGTATGAAGTTGAGATTTTAATGTATTTAATATGGTTGTACTTATTAATTTAGGATCCTTTCATCTCCATTTTAATCAAAAATTTGTATGAAGTTGAGATTTTAATGTATTTAATATGGTTGTACTTATTAATTTAGGATCCTTTCAGATCCATTTTAATTAAAATTTTGTATAAAGTTGAGATTTTAATGTATTTAATATGGTTGTACTCCTCATCAAGCTAGAAACGTTCTTTTGTATGATTCTATAATTCTCCGGTGTTACTGAGCCTTCTCATTAAATTAAATACATTTTTACCTAAAAAAAAAGTTTAATACCCAAATAAGAAACCATAGAAATAGGAATGATTTATTATTGGGCTAATGGCCTTCGCGTAGTGGCGGTTGGCATGTAACTTAGTAGCTCGCACGTCCGACAAGATTAGCTTGTGTCGTCAAATATACCATATAAACCAATAACCTATAAATACCATCCCATCCAATCACTCTTCATGCAACCCAGCTTTTCTGCTAAGCACTTTTAAAATAAGCTCCTGCAGTCCTTTCCCTAACCCCCAAGAAATGGCAAGGAGGAGCTTCATAATCTTCATCTCCTCCCTCCTCCTCATCTCCCTCTCCTTCCCATCCGCAACCGCCAGCGACTACTCCCTGGAAACCCCCGAGCAAACGGAGAAAGTGGTGGTGGAAGGCGTGGTGTACTGCCAGAGCTGTGACCGCTACGGAACATCGTCCTTGGCCGGGGCCGAGCCCATTCCTTCGGCGAAAATCAGCGTCATCTGCAAGAATCACAAGGGCCAAGTCAGCTTCTACAAGTCTTTTGTGGCGGACGTTAAGGGCTACTTCTACGCACAGCTTGAAGGGTTTAAAGTTGGACAACATCTTTTGGACCATCCACTCCATGGATGCAAGGTGAAGCTTGTTTCTTCTCCCCTGGCAAAGTGCAGTGAGCTCACCAATGTGAATTACGGGCTCTATGGGCCCCGCTTCGTTACGAGGACAAGAGGTTGTGGGGGAGGAACTATGAGGCTGTTGTGTATGCTGCCGGGCCTCTGGCTTTCCGTCCTTCTTATTGCCCTACTACTCACTCTTGATTCGGAACACCGGGTTTTCGCTGATTAATTTTCATCCTAAAGTTAACCTTTGCTACTTCTGTTTTCCATTTTTTTTCAATTTGTTTTGAAAATGTTACGGTGTCCGAAAATTTGTTTTATTTCTTGAATAAACTGGTTTTGTACTGCAAAGTGATGAAATGACATGTTTCATTTATTTCTTTATCCGTTCTTTGTAAGATAAACTATGGGATGCGGGAAAGTTAAAGCACCCTGACAGGGAGAGATTGACTTAAGATATTGTCATCGTGGCTTCCTAGATTTCCTAAGTGCCAGAAAGTTATCGTTTTTTGGGTTCTGTAGAAAATAGGGGACAAAATTCATGATTGTAGGCACAAATAGGTCAAACTAAAATTGGAAACTAGGATAGCACAAATCCGTTTACTTCAAGATTTCCAAAATTCAAGTACAATGGATGAATGGGGAAGTAACACAGCTCAATACATTCGCTACAACAAACCCGAAAATCTGCAGCACGCACACACATAGCAGTTGGAATTCTTCCTAGAAGTCCAGGGGCATTCCAAACATCTTATTGATCTCATCCATGGCCTCCTTTGTTGTTACAGTGGCCTCAAACAAATCTGAATCTCTTGATCTCTGCGGTAAATCAGGCATTTTCTGCTCTTGCTTTTGGTTCAAGTTATCATCAGGAAGTATAGAAAACCCACCAAAATCTTCTTTCCTATCAAGTCCTCTTTCCTGCTTTTCACTCTCCTCTTTCTTACAAATTCCATTGGCTTCCCAAACATGTTGTTGATATCATCCATGGCTTCCTTTAGGTTGATTGTAGGGTCAACCAAACCATGGTGGCAGGCATTTTCCACCTCCTCTGGCTCATCTGAAATGGTGGCCCCAACAAACCTACAAACCATTGTATCCTCCCTGAACCTCGGTCGAGATGAGCCTCCAACATCCAAATCACCGGAACTTTCACCTGGAAAATCTTTTGGATTTGGAAACACGAATACATTTCCATGTGAAGCAGGTGAGGTAGAATCATCTGTCGGGTTTCCGACATCACTCTGATCAGGGCTATCTTTGTCGTCAGTTATCATCATCGATGAAAATGTTTAAAGGTTCTTGGTGAGACTGGTGGGTAGCAGTTCTACTCAATTCTCCCTTATTATTATCTGATTTCCTCCCTCCATTATCTAAGTTGTCATCAACAAATACTTGGAATCCACTGTCCACAGTATTGTTCTTCGGTTGGGATTGTCGAGATCTTCTGCTAATGGGAGCCGTCTCTATAGGCTCTCGAAACATGTCATTGATGGCGCTCATGGCCTCTTTCATGTTTATAGTAGGATCCACCAATCCATGGTGACACGCATCTTCCGCTTCAGACTTTCCAACAATGGCAGTGTCTACAAACTTCACCACAACTGTATCATCGCCGCCAAACATTTTCGGTTCCTCTGACCCTCTTCCAGAAGTCACTTGATGCTCACTTCTACACGGATCATGTTGGGATTCTATAGGCCCTGGGGCCGATCCTGCAGGCATTTTCTTTGTTCCTTTCTCCATTTGGAGGGATAGTCCTATCTGACAGAGGCCTTTTCAAGGTCCTCTTTTCCTGGCAATGCATAACAGTTTTCTACAGTTAAAAGGAGTGCTAACAACACAAACTACAATCCCTATACACCAACAAGAAGATTAATAAACTACCTGGTTTCTGTGTCTCCTGTGTCTCTCCATTCGTTGAAGGAACTGCTCGTACGACTTCTCTAACGCTCCAATGGGCTCTGCAAGGCTGTTCGGAAGTTAATAAGATGTAATGTAGCAGCAGTTCAATTTTCAGAAATGTACATACACAGAAACCCTTATAGTAGCTATTGCAATTTTAAGAGCTTGTTGTCCAATTCAAACCATTACATCAAAGAAGGCAACTGATTTACAAAAAGGCACTATATCCATGTTCAACAAACTGGGAAAAGAAAATGTGTCCAGTTTCATTGATAACGTACTTTAGCTCGATACACTAAACTTTGATACAAACAATTTTGGAAGAGGGCAATTGAAGGCAAGACCTCTGATGCAAGGTTAAACGCTCTTAACTGCTTAAGTTACAAGTCCCCTCACTCCACTAGAGGTTGGAGCATTCAAATTACTGCCACATATAGCCCGAATCCAGACTTGTACAATACTTATGAATAGATTGGCATCTAACCTACATATTAGCTAAACAACATATCCAAGCTAGCAACACTTACGAATTCGGTACAAGGTTTGTTTCCCCTATATGTTGATAGCACCACTAGACATTCAATGAAAACAAATGCTGAAGTCTGAACACTTACTTTTGCACTCCCAAGTGGTACATCTTCTCAGCTTCCTCAAATTTCTTGTTCTTTTCATAGTAGAGAGCATATGCCTGGTAGAACAAAGAGTGCTTTGTCCCGATTTGATTCGCCTCCATTGTTCTCAACAGAGCTCTCGGATCATCGACAAAATCCATCTACTCCACAAAACAAACATAAAGAATTGGAAAACCCCAAATCGAACCCATTACACTTCTCTCCCTCAATTTTCCCAGTAACAAAACAGTTTCTAAGAATCAGTAAAAATCCAAAATTCCCAGAAGAAACTCGCAATCACAAAGAAAGGGGTAGGAAAGTTACCAACTTTAACCAAACTCGAATGTAGCGCAAATCATTTCGGTATCGTCGATCGGACTCGAACGTCTGCGCACACTTCTGCAAGAAGCGAGGAAGCTTCTCCTTCAGAGTGTGAGGCGGGAGTGAGTCGTTCATTTTTCGAATCCCTCTGCAACCACAATGTGAAATCGAATGGGTTAAACAGTAGAATAGTAACTGATAGCGAGGAAAAGATGGAGGTGGCGAGAGGGTACCTTAGCCATGGGAGAAGAGGGTCTTTGCCGGAGTAGGTTTTGACGTCGGAGATTAGGGAGGTGAAAAGATCGTTGTTCGACATGATGGTAGTGGTGGTGGAGGAGGCGGAGGAGGGAGGTTTTATTTGAATTTTTCAAATAAGGAGCTCTTACGGGCAAGGTCCCCGCAAATGGACCCGGGGAAAGCCCAGTCCTTAATTGGTTTTGGTGGGCTTGAGACTGAGGCCCAACTAAATAGAGTTGGACTTTGTGAGAGATATTTTGGAGTATTACGTTTACACTGCTGCCTGACACTCTTAATTTACGTCTTGTAATATGAGAACACGCTAAAGTTAATATTCTATTGATGTATGACATAGTATTAATGAATAGAAAGAGTATCACTTACAACATACGAATAATAAGGTAATGAAGCTTGACTCATATAATATACGATTGCGTAGGTGCTGATGGTGATTCACGCTATTAGAGTAATTGGTATTTGTTGAATGTCAAGTATGATTGAGGGTTTTTTTTTTTTTTTTATTTTTCCTAAGTAGTTTTCTCGGAAGGTTTTTTATCGAGCTCACATTACATTTTCTTTCAGTTTGCTGTTTTCTCTTTGAAAGTTAATGTATTTTATTTTTGAGATGGTTTTTGTAAAATATTTTATATTGCGTTTTATAACATTCAATTATATAATATGTCTTTTAATTAAGACGCAACTCTAATTTCAGAAATTATGAATCAATTTCTCAATTACTTTTCAATTAAAAAAAAATCATTTGAAGAATAAAACGTTACAAAAAAATTCCGAACCGCGAAAGCCCAACAGAAAGAGAGTAGGCCTCACACAATCACACCCACTGCTGCAAGTCACTGCCGAGTGGCCTTCAAAATTCATCAGCGCCGCCGCTCGTTTTGCCCCTTTTCCCAAACCGCCGCCTTCCGTCCTCCCTAATCTCTCTCCCTATGGAAAAATCCGACTCCGAAACTCAAAACCCTAAGGACGACCGCGACGAGGAACCTCCCTCCAATGTCAACGGCACAGTCGACGGCGACCCCGAACCCGACGAAATCGATGACGAAATCGACGAAGAGGAAGACGAAGACGACGACGAGGAGCCACCTCTGCCACGAAAGGCTCTCTCTCAGGAGGCGCGGTTGCGCGCGGAGAAGTCCAAGCTAGAGAACCTGGTCCAGCGGATGTCGACCGAGCGAGTCGATCTGAGGGTCCACGACGTTCTGATCAAGGGCAACACGAAGACGAAGGAGCATTTGATCGAGGCCGAGCTGGCGGGGATTAAGAAGGCCACCACCATGCAAGAGCTGCTCGAGGCCGCCGCAATTGCAAATGCGAAGCTTCAGCAGCTTGAAATATTCGATGCGGTTCGGATCACGCTCGATTCTGGCCCGCCGGAGCTGCCTGGAACTACCAATGTTATTGTGGAGGTCGTTGAAACTAAGAGCCCGATTTCTGGCGAAATCGGTGCTTACACGAAGCCGGCGGTACGTTTTTTGTTGCTATATGCTTCATATAATTGTATATATTGGTTTGGTTTGCTGAATTGGTGAGATTAGGGTTTAGTACGTAGAACTACCACAGACTGCGTGGTTGCTGAGAAATTGGAGGAAATGGAAATCTGGATGATATTAACTAGAGAGAGTTGAAATTAAATTCGTCCGCGTATGCTGTACACTTACTTGCATATATGGGCGTGAAATAGATGGCATGCGTTGTAAATTTTAAATCCCGCATCGATACCAATATACTGGTAAAACCTCTCTATATCTGCTGCTTCCAGTTTTTCTGTTCGAAGGATCATATGATATTATAATACTAGGAGGTGGTGATTAAGTGATGAATGCAAATGTGGGAGCTTAAAGCCATAATATGTTATGTTCTCTTGTTTTGTAAATGTGAACAGATGCATAAGCATGGTACCCATCATATGACTTACAGAGTTGTGTAATGTTTTTGTAGGCTAGGTCATGGACTGCTGAAGGAACACTTAAGTTCAAAAATTTGCTCGGATATGGGGATTTGTGGGATAGTTCTTTGGCATATGGGCCCAACCAAACGTCGGAGTTAAGTGCTGGTCTGTTTTTGCCCAGGTTCAAAGGGTTTGTAACTCCAGTGACGGCACGAGCATTCCTGCTTTCCCAAGATTGGGTGGAATTCTCTTCTTATAAAGAGCGCATGATGGGGCTCTCTCTTGGACTGATTTCATCAAAACACCATGATTTGGCATACAATCTGGGTTGGCGAACCCTAGCAGACCCATCACAATTGGCCTCAAGGTCAATAAGAAGGCAGCTCGGCCATGGATTACTTTCTTCAATCAAATACACATTTAAGAATGATAGGAGAAATTCACCTTTGAGGCCAACTCGAGGTTACTCATTTGTTTCAACAAGTCATATTGGTGGCATTGCACCTGATCATCGAAGCACGAGGTTTTTGCGTCAGGTTTAGTACACATTCTCTTCTTTGTTTTGATTCTGTTGATTACCAAGCCACTATCTGTCTGTAATTGAACTGGCATATGCGCTGCTATTTCACTTATATTTGGGTCATGGAGTTATTTTGGTCAAATGTTCAAAAAGATGGAATTATATTATCTGTATACTGTTGTTCTTGTCTCATATGTGACTATGGAAATTTTAGTTTCTTTTTGAGCCGAACTTAGGAGGGAAAAGGGAAAAAAAAAAATAATTTAATTTATATGTGTTGTTCATGTTAAATCTTTTGGTTGACACCTGCTTAAGAGATCTATAAATGTTATTAATCATACTTTCATGTTTAGATTATTAATGATAGAATGTTTCCCAGAATTGTCATTGCATACTGAGTTATTTCTAATATTTCTTATCTGGGTTGGTTCTTCTATTTCATATTCTTGAACGATGACCATGACTGCAGTCCTTTTTTTCTAGTAGGCCATCTTGGAAGAGCCCATGTTGAGGACTTAATACATTATTCAGATACAACCTGTTCATTTTCTTGTATATTACTGATACTCTTTGCTACTCATAATAGAAGCAGAACATGAAAAGAAAAACAACGAGACCATTCTATTCTCTACTGTGATTTATCTTTATATTTTGAAATTAAGAAACCCAATATTATCGTTTGCTAATTAGAGATTTCAAACTCTGACAATCTGTATTATGAAGCTTCTTTGTCCTGTAGTAAATTTGTGTGCATTGTTATGTTGCAGCTTGATTCAAGGTAGTGAAAAGTAGCAGCTTCTTAATGCCAATGGATATGTGGCCTTTTGCTTTAAGTCAGATGATTTATATTTAAGGCTAAATGTGGATAATGTAAAGAACCAATTTAAAGATTGATTTTGACCCCCTTTCTACTTATTCTCTAGACCTATTAGCTATTATGCTTATTAACTTTCTTCTCTTACTGTATGCTACAGGAGTTCGATCTTCGTTATGCGGTTCCATTAGGATTTTATCATGCTGCACTTAATTTTGGGATCTCCGCAGGAGTTATTTTTCCATGGGGGAGTGGATTCTTGAGCAAGCCCTCATCCCTTCCAGAGCGGTTCTTCCTGGGTGGTGATTTCTCTCCAGTTTGCACTGTTGGGGGCCCTACGACAGTGTGGGGATTCAAGACAAGGGGACTAGGCCCCACTGAACCAAGAAGGCATGTTGGAGATAATTCTAATGAGGAGAATTCAGAATCCCCTGGAAGAGATTCTGTTGGAGGAGATCTTGCTGTTTCTGCGTTTGCAGACATTTCATTTGATCTTCCACTTCGCTGGTTAAAACAACATGGAGTGCATGGTCATATTTTCGCAGGTGCAGGGAATCTGGCGAAATTGACGGAGAACGAATTCCGAAACTTTTCTGCCCCGAAGTTCCTTCAGTCATTTCGAAGTTCTGTGGGAGCAGGGATTGTTGTCCCTACCAAATTCTTCCGCCTAGAGGTTAGCTATTTAATCTGATTTTGATGTAAAAATTTGAGATAGGAAATTCATGGTACATATACTTCTTGCATCCGTGATTTGTATTGTATGGGATAGATTGGATGCAGTAACGGGCATAAGGATCCTCTTTCTTCAAAATGGGTTTTTCTTTCATGGTCTTATCTGCTTTTATACTGGGTGTCTGGGGAAAACAATCTAATTTTATTACATGGTGATTACGATTCAGGAATGCTTCTGAAATCTTTGGAAAATGGTTATATGATTAAATGGATCTTGTAAACAATCTGTTCTTGTTCAAGTCTCATCACAGTTAAACTCCTCTGAAGGGGATACATGTGATGCATGCCTGTTTTCATTTGTGTTTGTGTGTTGTTTTGCCCGAGTTCATGTATTTGCTTGGTTCCTAGTTTTTATTTGGTTGCCTGGTTAGCACGATCCCTATTGTCTCAGGGTTTAACAAGCTCGCTTTTTGTTGTCAGTGCAACTACTACTATATACTGAAGCAATTTGAGCATGACCGTGGGAAGACTGGCTTTCGCTTCAGCATCTCAGCTCCGTCATAGAATCTGGGAATTTTTTCTTCTTGTGATATTTGATGTCCGGCTAAACTTGAGGTGAGGTATCTGAGTTCTTTTTTCCTTTTGGATTGACAGCCCTGCCTATTTTCTGAGAATCTTAGTTCAGACAGAATTACAAGTTTTCCGTTTTGTACTTTCAACTTCTTAGACTAAGATTTGAGGAAGCATGGTGCTTTGATGATGCACATAAGAAGAAAAATAACATGAGATTTCCGGTGCTCGAACATATAAACACGGTGATTAAAACTGTTGAGAAAATCCTGAAATTGTCTATTTTTTCCAATGAATATTTTCATACTCATTTATTTCCCTCCGTATGTTAATCATATCTTCTTGCCCAAGTAAGTTGAATATAAATCTGCTATTGACCATTTAAGTCTTGTGTTACTTGTCACGATCTACGGAAACAATTTAGGACCAAATTTATGTTTCATCGCAGTGAAACCCTTTGGCCGGAGATTGAGCAACTCCCTTCTTTTTTTAACTTTTATAGGGGAATCAAACTCACAAATGCTCTACAATCCCCTTGCAACTTTCTCTTTTAGTTGATGTCATTTTATATGTGCATGTGGCAATTTTGTCTACACCCTTTCGGAAATTCCTCCGTCCGGATGATCTTGCTGTTGTGTTTT